ATATAAAATCTGTAATCTTCTTCGGTAAAGGTTCTCTCCATAGCTCTAGAGGCAAAACCGAGTCATGAACGGAGAGGCCTCGATTGAGTGCCCGCATTCCAGACAAGCTACTGCAAGAAATTAAAGCCAGATAGGAGAGACAGTTATGTGATAGATCAATAATTGAAGATGGAAGAAGAGAAAACGTTTTATCGTGGAGGAGTCTGATTTGCTGGCGAGCTGGCGAGCTGGCGCGAGGCGGTGACTAGAGGGTTTATTGCTCCATTCGCTTTGATTCTCGACCAAGTTCCCGGAAGACGGGATTCGGAGCTCTTTCTACAAGAGAGCAACGGTAGCTGTAGTAGATATACGATATGCCCCAGGTAAGTCTGGTAGTAGTATAGAGGTTGATCCATAATATATCTCACGAGACCACTTTCATCGTGGAGCTTCTCGTTGAACGAAGTCGGTTCCTCCGGAATCTAGATGGAGTCAATGGAAGGCATCGCATCTCGTGGAGGTGAACTCTGATCTGATTACTCGCTCGACACGTGGCGAGGTGTCCGAAACTGTTCATGATCTTCAGAAGCTGAAGGTATAATTCATATATCACCAATTGGATCTTGTCCATCGTAGGAATCAAAAATGTGAGATTTCATGGTTGTCTTTTGAGGTTTGAGCCTCAGTTGAGTTGCGGTCAGCTACTTGCACCGCTACCCGTTTTACGTTGCGCTTTTAAAATGTAGATACTGTACATAGTTCCATACTAGGGACACTGTCAAATATGTCATACAATACAGTGATTGCCGGATAAGGAGCCAACAACACGTTGCTTCATGCGCAATTACATGGGCCAGATTTGACAAAAGTCCAAAGCCTGCACTCATCACTTCTCACATTGCGCTGAAACTGGGCCCGAGCCAGGGTAGCCTGTTCTAGATTCGAAATTGCAGAAGCGGGAAATCGAAGCTGGGCTCCGATGATCATTGAGGCGGTCAGTGAAAAGTACTATTGCTTGTGTTAAAATTGAATGGGAATGGCTGTTACAGGTGAAAAGATCGGGGAGCCACAGAGCGGTGGAGTCTTTCCCGCCGCGGTAAGTGAAAATGGTGCTTTTGCCCCGACCCTTGTTCTTGACTCGAGGCTTCTGGGGCCTCGCGTGTATCCCTGCTTTTCGCCTGAGACTAGGAAGCGCTCTTCTCCGGAGGGGGATTCTAGATGCTGAAGAAGCTGGAGGGCTGTTTCATGACGGGGAATGATATCAAGATATGATGCTGTGGTGTTGCACTCGCTCCGCGTATAATCCGGCTAATAGACGTGTTGAAGTGGATAGTAAATCACAGCTTCCTACTCCTATGGTGCTGCTGGTAGTCGTTGGCACTTGCCAAGGTCTATTATTGCATCATTTTTCAGCTGTCGAGTGGTGAATACAACGCTGTGATGTTCTCTAGATTGTGACTGTGCTGTATGTATGTTTCGTAGTGTGTTGGGTTGAGCTACGACTAAAACGGTGGGCATTGAAAGCCGCAGTATCGGATGCGCCCTATAGAACGGAGCTTGGATGCTTTGCACTAATTCAACGAGTAATTGCTGATCAAGTAAACCTTATGAAAGTGGTAGCTTGATCACCAACTAGCGTAGCAAGCTGCTCTGCTGGTAGATGGGCTTATAATTAGGCTCGTTGTCTAGTAAGGTATTGATAGTATTCTTGAAGAAGGAGATACCATACGTGCATGAATATTTCCCTGTACACTATCTTTTGCCCATTGATGACGAAGGCTTTGATATGGAAAAAAAAAAAAAAAAAAAACTGTAGACTCTCTAATTCAAGGGGGGCTCAGCTTCTTCTTTCAATTTCCTGCCTTTGTAACTGAGAGCCTTGGGGTGGGTTAAAAATGCTGTGAAAACAGTCCTGGCATTGGGCGTCTAGCAGGCTGTTCCAGGGTGTTGCCGAACAACCAATGAGTGCTTAGAAGCATCGCTAAATAGGTGCAGTCTCTTGATTTATATCTCAATTGCTCTCGTCTCGGAAATAATTGCCCATCTTTAGATAACGAAACTATAGCCATTCCTGGGTAGCAGCCGAGTGCCGAGTGCCGAAAGTCAAAACTGGAGCAATTATCAGCACACAGATATAGATTCCCATGCATTCCAATAGCAACAAAGGCTTTGAAGCAGTGCTCTTATTACCCTCATGTATGTGTGTATGTACTTTACGGCTCCCAACTCTTTTTTTAGAACCTCCTTGACTGGCTTATCTCATTGTTTGCTAAGTTATCTCCGACGCCTCATCGGGATAAGATTAGCTACAGCTGTCAAAAGTTGACGTGCTCAGATTGTTGGTTACAAATCTCTTTTTCGTCGAATCTTGAGACCTATTCAGACTAGAAGTGGAAAAGAAGGTCGTTAATCGTCTGACCTGCGATGCGTATTATCAAATATTACAATACGTTTGTTCCACGCGCGTATTCAATCTACTAAGGCATATTAATTGACCAACTGATCTACGGGAAGCAAAAGCTATAGTCGTGCATTACTCACCCTCGTACGCTAAGGTACGTGTAGTTGACTTTCAAAATTTCCCAAAGAGGAAAACGATCAAGAATTCCATCAAAGAGAGTTCTATTTTAGAGACTATCTGGAGGCCCTATGTTTTCGAAGCTTGCTTTATTTTTGGCGCTATCAGTAATACGATTCTAGCTGGGCGGTTTCCTGTAGTTTTTAAAGAAAATCAGTTAGGGCTGACAAATGATCGCCGAAGAACACTTACGGAGATAAGCGTCTCGATCTTATGCCCATCGCGACAACTTCAGTAGAGCCGATGAGCGTCTGCCGGGACAAGAGCCGAAGTTTTTTTTTGGAAGGCTTTTGCACGGCAGTTTGTCCCTTCAACTTCTTTATAAAGAGACGCAGGGAGGATTTAAGGAAGCTGAGGTCATCAGACCTGCAGCGAGTTGAGGTCCCGGTTCGAAAGCGCAAAAACCATCGCAATAGACAACGATGGCCGTGATCGCCGACGAAAACGCGGGGGCCGCAAAGCCTTCAAGATTCTCAAAGCTCCTTTGGACGCCGCCGTGGGTGAGATGGAATCCAGAACGGGACTTTGAAATGAATTGGAGCTTGACATGTCTGTTTGGATTTGTACGACTCTTGTGCCCCTTTAACTGTTGGAATAGTGATGCTGATGAATGAATACCAGGTGGCTGCGTTTAGTGTAGCGAATCTCTATTATACGCATCCGATCCTTCATGTCTTGGCGGTAGATTTTAATATTACGGAGGAGCGTGCCTCGCTCATTCCCACGCTGCTGCAGACTGGCTATGCGACTGGCTTGCTCTTCATCGTCCCCGTTGGAGATCTTGTGCTTCGCCGGTCGATGATTATCGCTTTGGTTTTTGTGACTTCCATGATTGTAAGTCACAAGTATGACTCCTTGATGGTCTAGAATCTGGTGATTAATGGTTTGAAAATCAGTGGCTGGGCTGTTGCCTGACGCAAAAGTTCGAAGTCTTCCTCGGCCTATCATATATCGTCGGCCTCTTCACCGTCACGCCGCAACTCATGTTTCCTCTGACGGTGCGCTATGCTCCCCCCCGACATCGAGCCACGATGACGGCCATTGTCATGTCCGGACTGGTCTTTGGAGTCTTGATTGCTCGTTTATTTTCCGGCATTGTTACGCAGTACGCAGGCTGGCGCGTCATGTACTGGGTGTCCTTTGGCCTGCAGCTTGCGATTATCCTCCTCGTCTTTCTGTTCATGCCGGATTTCCCTGTTCTACGGCCTGACGGATCCTACCCCGGTGTCCTTCTCAAGATGGTACAGCTGCCTTTCCAATACCCCGAGTTGACTCAGTCGTCCATAATAGCTTTTCTGAACATGGGTATGTTCACTTCCTTCTGGACGACCTTGACGTTTCAGCTGAGTGGCCCTACTTTTCATCTGTCGACTCTTGTCATTGGTCTTTTTGCCCTGGTTGGCATGTCGCCGGTTATAATCAGCCCTCTGTTCTCTCGCTATGTGATGGTGCATCTTCATCCAACCGGCTCTTTGATCATAGCGCAGTTGATATTGATCACGGCTGCTTGCATCGGAACATTTACCGGCACATTCTCGCTGGCAGGACCCATCATCTGGGCCTGCATAGGAGACCTGGGGAACAACATTGCAACTGTGTCTAACCGCATGTTGTTTGCGCATGTCGAACCCACTGCGCAGAACACTGTAAACTCGGTCTACATGGTGTTCACCTTTTGTGGCCAGCTTTTTGGAACCGCGGTGGGAAACAAGCTGTATGCGGAGGGCGGATGGATTCACAGCGGTGCTCTCTCCATCGGTTGTGTGGGAGGGGCGTTGCTGATAGTTTTTCTTCGAGGACCGCATGAGAAAGGCTGGCTAGGCTGGAGTGGAGGCTGGGAAGTGAGGGCGAAGAGATTGAAGCAAAGAGAGGCGGAGACCACTCAGATATCATCTGCCACGGAGAATCCTACTGACGAAGAGGCGGCCATTCAGCAGGAGGCAGCAGTGAAAGAGAAGTCGTGAAGAAAAGAAAGAGCAATAATAATATTATGAGGGACACATTCGACGTAATGTCCAAGTATACGACTGATTGCTATAGAAGAGTTTGGATGTGAAAAACATTTGAGCATGAACCATAGCGACAATTGAAATATAGACTAACCAAATTTTTCATCATTTGAATCCCATGTGAGCAATGATACATGTTCAAACTTTTTTCTTTGCCTAGGTAATAACGGTTTTACAACTTGGATATCTCATGTATTAGTATAAAGGAAGTCTCTAGGAACTACAGGTTAGCTCTAGTACAATAACCGTAGATGAGTGAGCTAGAGTACATCAGAAATAGAAAGAGGCCGCGGAAAGCTAAAAGAAATATTAGAATAGCATGAAGACCAAAAGGAGGTGATTTGTTTTGAAGTAGAATTCCATTTCCAAGAGACGCTGATATATAAGCAAGAAATGAGTAAATCGCGGTTCCAGCCCTTCTGGTCTCCATGCCTTCAGTGGTTCATAGTGGAAAGGCTCATGACAATTCCAACCGTTAAACTCAGCGCAACTCCGGAGCCCACAAACACCTGCCACTTCTCGCTCCATACATTGGAGCGAAGCAGCCACGCAAGGCTTCCCAGCGGAAAGAAGAAGCCTATCAACATGGCTCGGATCATCACGTCAAGCACATTAGACATTCCGTTGAGATCATCTTCTGTCGAAGCATTCGCAGATGGGAGTCCTCCGGCATTGTTGTCGATCCATGCATCCTCCATGTTACGCAGCGTGTCTGGCGAGGGCATAGCGTCGGGTGCGAAGCCCTCTGTGCGGATCAGAGCAAACTGCGTGCGCAACGTCTCGATTTCCGACTGCGTGAAGCCTGTCTGAAGGAGGCGGTCGAAGCCCCGTGGTCGAGGACGAGTCCATGATGAAGGATGTCCGGTCTGATGAGATGGGGCTGTACTTGATTCATCAGGGGGCTTGGAAGCGGCAGCTTGCTCTTCAGCGAGTTCTTCAGGGGACAGCTCATCACCGATGGAGCAGTTGATGTATATTCTTACGGGAGCCAGGCCATGATCTGTGGCCTTACCCTTGCCCTTGGAGCTCTTGGGGCTGTTGTGATGTGATTTTGATGATGATGGCGGAGGAGGAGGCGGCTTGATAACGGAGCTGAGGGCTGAGGCGTCTGGGAGGAGGCGGCCCTGATAGATGAAGCGAAGGCGATTCCGTGAGGACAGACGCTCTCTGATTAGATTTTTGAGAGAGAGGACGGTTGTCGTCTGCGGAGATGGGACGTCCAGGTCCAGATCTGGCAGCGAGTTTGAGAAGCGGATTGTGAGATGATATGGCAGAGAAGCGGTTGAAGAGGCCGGTGTCAGCGGCAATGCGGGCGCTAAGGCTGCCATGTCGGGGTCATTTCGGATGGTGACGCTCGGTGTAGACTAAGCAAAAGGATTCCAATACTATACAAGACAGCGCGAGAGTGTGAATCTAATATCCAAAGCCGTGAAGATTTCCAGGAGCAGCGAATGAGATGGCCAGCATATAGTAGCTTCTGGTTATGGAGGACGATCCAACGTCGTCACCGTCGATGGCAGCTACAGACTTAGTGGGGCAGGGGCCGGTTCAGGGCCCCTCCAGCTGGCCTTAGCGTCGGTGGGCCGCTGGAATCTGCTGGTGCCGCGACTGTTATTGCGCTGACCGCCTGGCAGAATCGCCAGACTTTCCAGAAACTCCAAAAAGCTGCAGCTTCGAAGTCGCTTCACTTGTGCCGCAGCTCTGCTAATCCCATCGCCGTCGTTCCCGCTAGCTGTCGTCACGCAGCCTATCGATTGTCCTGCGGCTATTTGCGAGCAGCGCAGGCAGGGCAGGGCCAACCATGATGCGCATGAGGGGGCGGCTTCTGACCTGCTTCTACTGTGGGAAGCGGTCGTCAATCAGATATGATGGCCGGATACGCGACTTTCGGTGCACGTACTGCGAGGCCACAAACTACCTAGATGAGGTTTGCGAGGACTTCTTGCTTTTGAGAGCTATGCGCGGATTTGATACTAACAGACTTGCGAAAACAGTATGGCGACATCACGGATCCGCCTGCCCTTGAGTCGTCGACTCCGAAGCAATTCGCCAAGCAGATGCCTTCCCGGCCTGCGTCACCTACAAACAGCATCTTCTGCGAGAAATGCCTCAAGAATCAACGGTTATTTACAGCATCATTGGCGCAGTACCTCCCCGACGATCCTTCTCATCCAGATTATGCCGACCTCGAGCGCAAATACTATCGATACCGCAAAGACTTGGAGAAGCGCTATCCTCAAGTTTGCTCAGACTGCGCCAAGAAAGTGGAAGATCGCATTAATCAGGCTGGTTATACGGCCAAGACAGACCATCTCAGGCGGATGATGGAGAAGAGCAGAGGCAGAAAAGTGCCAAAGAGAATGACATCCCTGGATGTGGCAAACGCGATGGGACGTTGGCTCTGGTGGAGTGGCTTGTTTATTCAGATTGCTTGGCATGTGGTGAGCGTATCGTACGTCTTGGAATCTCGAACGACGAGCAAGGGCGGCATGGTAGACCCAGACGATCAGAGTGCCGCGAAAGAGATGATTACTTGGCTGAGCTACCTGCGTGGGTTCTTACCTGCGGCCGACACTCTGATAAGATGCAGCATAAATACGGGATTTCTTTCTGCTTGGTGGAATCCGCACTTTGTGCAGCTCAATCGCGGGTTTACCCGACATCTATTGGGGTTCACGCAGTGGTATTGCTTTCAGGGGCTCATCATTTTCTTCCGATACATCTTCCGCTCTGTTCTCCATTTGCAGGGTGGCCAAGCTCAGTCGGATAGGGCGCAAATCAGCGCGCATTTCGCCATGGCCTGCATTATGGGTTTGGTAAGTGACAGTCTTTGTCTATTTATTTGGAATTGCGAGGTTACATCATCTAACTGATTTCCATCTCAGATCTACTCGCTTGCGAGAAAGTCTATCAAAGTCGATACGACGCCCCTCTTCGGCGTGACTGACAAGACAGTGTCTGCAAGTCAAATGCCTAAGCCGACACCTAGAAAGAAGATTAGAGAACCAAAGACGTTAGCCGAAGCTCTCACTGAGGCCCTCGAATCGGCAAATCCTTCGCCGATGCCGATGAAGAAACCCACTCCAGCAAGAAGCTGGGAGTCAGTAGACCTGTCACCGATTAAACGACATAGGCCAGCAAGGGCTTTCGAATTCGACTCAGGAGCCTCCTCCTCCCCAACCAAAGACCTCGCACCGCGACGATTCCAAGAGCTATTGCCTCCCTCACGTGCTGCTAATCCATTTCGAACAACTCACGATGAACTTTCTTTTGCTGGCTTCAGCATATCAGACAAATCTCCTCAGAAAGGCCTTCGAGCGCAGGACTCTGACGAAATGGATTGGTCTCCTCTACCAAAACAGTTACAAAGATCCCAGCATCGTGCTTTCCAAGACTCTCCTGTGCCATCCAAGCTTGGCCCACCACGACCGTTTGGCCAAGCTCCTACACAGCCCGATGCCGGGCCTTTTTGGTTCAAAGTACCCTCCGCACCAGCAAATCCAGCACAGCGGCTCCGCAATCCTATAAATGCTCCACTATTCAATAGAGCGTTCTCAGAACCCAGGAGAGAGGAAGGAGATTTCGGATTCGGTAAGCATCGGCTGGACGAGATGCGAGAAGAGCCATCCAGAGCGAGCAGCGTGGACTTTAAAGGTCCTAGCTTTTTCGCACCAGAAGATCCTGACGAAACGGATGCACTAGCTGATGCTCTTGGCCAGAGCTTCACTTTTGCAAACGATGCGGATGAAGAGTCCGATTCGGAAGAAACTGTCGTCAACGAGGAACTCCCCATTCTCTCTAGCGGGCAATCTTCTCATATTTACGATCTCTATTTTTTGGCCACCATGTTTTTCCTTTGGTTCATCCCTTTGATCGTCACCGTTCCTTATTGCAAGGAAGCACAACTTACAACATTGTCCATTGCCGGTATTATCGCTATTCGTAGCATTGGAGGAGCTACTCAGCAACTCTTGGGCGGTGACTCTAACTCATCTGGTCTAGCCATGTGTCTCGCTTCAATTACAAGTGTGGGCGAGTTAAGTGCTCTTTGCTGGACCGCATGGCAGCTATGGACAGACCAAGGGGAGATTTTCCAACATGGCGCAGCGGTGCTGGCGTCCATGCTGGGGCATCAAGTATTGAGAGGCATTTCTTTGAGACAAAACTCATGATACTGCCATGGACTGTATAACCCCTGTTGTTTTACCCGTCTCCGTGGCCGACGGAACGGAATTGTTGAATAGATTGGTCCCTGGTTGATAAGACTGTAATAGTGGGGATAGACGGATGGAAACTCATTTTCACACAAGCGCAGCATCATGGATAACAACGGCGTTTTTTTGGGCTAGAAAAGGTCATGATGTTTTGGACCTCTGCATGTATAGGTAGTTACAAGGATCCGAGAAAGGGCTATTTGTAAGATTGGGACTATTGGGATAATAATGAACTTGAGATTTTGGATACCTCGACAGCTGCTCGTTTCTGACCGAGTAACTTTCTACTTGACTGACCAGCGATCCCATCCTTTGATATGTTCGGTAATGACTGATATCGAACGTATTGCTGTAAGTGGCTAACATTATCTATGAACTAACCTATTCGCAGTACTACTAATATAGTCTGACTTGACTAGATTCGCTCCGCGGACCATCCACCATGATCTGACAACCCCGCTGACAACAGGGGGCTGTAAGCTTGGTCCCCGCACTGGTTTCAACCTAAAGCAATGGTATAAGAGATGAGGAGAATCCGACGTCTGTTATGTTAATGCTAATCATTTTCAAGTCGTATACTATTTGCTTCGTAGTCATATTATTCGACGTCATTAACTTTCAGTAACTAAACAATGGCCTCTCTAGAGACCACTCAAGGCACTGTCCAATTCCGCCATTCGTCCCTCCCCGGTGGCTCTGCTGAAACCTGGTATCGAGTCGTCGGCAAGCTCCAGCCGAATAGCACTCCTCTGGTCCTCCTCCATGGCGGCCCTGGCTTCCCGAGCATCATTTTCGGGGACGTCTTTGACAAATATGCAGCTCAGAGCGGCAACCCCGTGATTTTGTACGATCAGGTTGGTTGTGGCAAGAGCACGCATTTCCAACAGACACGACTGGACACTTCCCTTTGGACCCCCAAGTTGTTTGTGGCTGAGCTGGAGAATCTGCTCAAAGAGCTCGGCGTGACGACTTTTGACTTGTACGGTCATTCTTGGGGCGCTCTTTTAGCAGCTCAGGTCGCCATCACGGAGGCCCCTTTCGTGGGACACTTGCGAAGGCTGATTCTGGCAAGTGGTTTGTCGTGTTCTAGCTTGTGGGAGAAGGCGCAGCGTACGTTGTTGAAGCAGATGCCGCAGTCGGTGCAAGACGCCATTGAGAAGGGAGAGCGTGAGAAGGATTACCAGTCTGAGGCGTATCAGAATGCGATTGGTCAATACTACAACCGGCATGTGTGCAGGACGTCGCCGTGGCCGGATGCATTGAATGATGCATTTGCTGAGGCGGGAAAAGATGATACGGTCTATTTTACGATGTGGGGACCGTCGGAAGTTACAGTAACTGGCAACTTGAAGGGTACGTGCATATATGCGTGTAGATGTGGTATTGTCTTTATTAACTGGATTTACAGACTATGACTTGCGGCCGCAGCTGAACAAGATCAAGGTGCCTACTTTGCTCATCAATGGCGAGTACGATGAAGCTACGGATGAGGTGATGAGGCCGTTTTTCACGAATATCGAAAAGGTCAAGTGGGTTGTTATTAATGATGTTGGGCATATTGGCTATTTGGAGGAGCCGGACAAGTACGTTTCCATTGTGGCTGACTTTCTCGCTGCGTAGAGTACATATTGCGTTATATAAGTAGACATGCAAGTTTTCATACATGATTGTCTTAGTGTATAGGTAGAAAATGATGAGTTTTTAGCTGTATATACTATGCTGCACAAGATCTCTCACGGATGTCTACCAGTCCAATACTTCTCAATAAACTCCACAACCTTTGTCGTTTTAATATCAGGAAACTCTGCATTCAAAGACTCACTCTCAGGAACATCCACATGGCCAGAAACAATCGCCGTCCCTATCCCAGCAAACATAGCAAGCACAAGCGGGTAAGCATCAAATTCTGGCGTGCTATACAGTGCAGCATGCGCCTTGTTCCCAGGAATCGGCGTCACCTCGCCGCCTTTTAGCTTCTCCACCGAATCGTACGCAACGCGGAACTTGGTCCCTCGAGCTTTTTCTGCTGCTCGTAAAATTTCGTGAAGAGAGGCTTTGTCGCCGATGATCCAGGAATGCTCTTTCCAAGTGCCTGGCTTCATGGAGATTGCGCGGCTGACGAATTTGGCGACGTCGGTTGTGTGTGTCCAGACTGCGAGGTCGTCGCCGCTGCCAGGGATGGTTGCTTGGCAGGCTTCGATGTCGACGAAGGGTACTTCGGAGGGCATTGTCGTGGGAGCCCAGGGCTGGCCGAAGTAGTCCATGAAGTAGCCATTGTGGAAGAGCGTCCATTCGAGGTTTGGGTGGCTGCGCAGCTCTTTTACAATGTTTCGCTGAAAAGAGAGCATTGGCATGAAGGGTTGGTATCTGCCAGGGTTAGCCATCTCTGCTGTGAAAATGAACGATTTAATTTAGGATTGTAAATTTACTCTTCTTCTCTTTCCAAGTCGATTAGATATTCGCTTGGGGCGAATCTCTTGACTGTCTCTGAGTTGGCGCATGCTCTGATCAGTCTTACTTGGGCGTCAAAGGCCGCGGTGCTGGCTGGTGATATTGTTGACAGGACAACTTCAATTTTGTGTTTGTTCAAGATACTTTGAATTTCATCTTGGTCATCGTAAGAGTTGACGATGATGTTTACAGCCGGAAGATGGTCGAATACTGATGTTGGCTGCCAAGGGGTTAGCGTGTAGGACTATCATGAGAATATTCATGGCCTACCTTTCGCGTAAAGACATAAACTTGATGCTCTTGCGAATCAACGAGGCCTTGAACAATTGCTTGGCCCACGTGCCCAGTTCCTCCTGCGACAGCGACGTGTACCATTGTAACGATATAATGCCAAGTGCGTCTTAATCAACGCTCAATGAATGGATGATAATTCCTTTAATATAGCGGATCCAGACTTTGGGGCGGGGAAGTCGTGGTGCACCGTCGCTGTGCAGCGGGCGCTGAGATTCCAAAAGAGCCGCTAATGGACATAGCAGATCTACGTATTTTCGTGCTGCTGTCCCTGTGGCGTTGGTTATTGGGGAAATGTGAGATTTTAGGCCGTAGGTGGAATGAACGCGATCGCAAAGAGTAGCCCGAAATCAACGCTGATAGTTGGTAGAGTAGTTGGGCGGCCAATATAATTCTATGAACCTAAGCCGCCAGATTACACCATTCCACTTTCAAATTCTGTAGAGAAACTGGAGAGAGTAATGTATATTTTACGATCTCGTAAAAGTTGACAATAATTTGAGCACATCTAATAACTACCTGGGTGAGTAATGACGAGACGCAAAGGTATGGGAAGGTAACCGCAGGAAGAGATTAGAAGTAGAGAGGTAAAAAATTCATGTACAACAAAGAAAACTCTGGAATAATAGATTGCCCAAGGCGAAATAAACAAACGATAGCTAACCAATTTCATTCTCTTTTTCTAAAAAATTTGGTATGGTTAAGTGGGCATAGATGAAGCTGCGTCTATTAGTAGTACGCGGCCTAGTACACCGTTTAAGTTGCTTGCAACTTATTCGGGCGCTGTTTTTATATAAGAAGTATATCATTTGTTTTTTCTTTTTCAAATTGCGCCAATGAAAGTGCCCATCCATTGCCTAGGTAAACCGTTTCACTCGATTTCAATACTAAAAATCATTCACCGAGATTCAGTAAACTTGAACTTTCTTGCACTCGGAGCTTTCGGCGCGCTGGTGGATAAGTTTAGCTGCCGCCATTGTTAGGCTAGCGTATAGGCTTCAGAATCAAGCAGTCGACTTGTTTTCTAAAGAGACAGGATCGTATCTTCATCAAAGAAAGCATCGTGTCGCTTTTAATAGGTAATAGATTCTAGGTTAAAGAATAACGCATTATCGTCATATACAGCTTGCAATATTATACTGCTTGCATGCCTCGTACTATAGCTGAACGAATGTTACGCAAATAGCGAGACACCGAATAGAATACATTGTCATCTCAATTGGAACTCTATCTTAAGCTGTAAGTATCTCAGTTATAGTTCCTATTGATTCATGTAGTTACATGTAAGGAGAATTAATTTGCATGGCTTGTTGAGATTATGATCCGAGGTTCGAAACCTGTCTCTGATACTGTGGCGGCATCTCGGAGGCTCGGACAATTTCGAAAGCCTGCCACGCATAGCCTTTTTGCTGTCATTATAGCGCCCGGCAGAGCGACTCGGCAGAGCACCACGCCAAACCAGGCTCAGCATCATGCCATTAATGACGGCAGCTGTCTCGGAGATTTTCTGGAAAATCCATCAAGATACTCAAAGGGTCCCGAGACCTCGGTAGAAGCGAAGCAAGCGACGCAAGCGAAGGGCAAGCTGCCATGACGTTGTCCGAGAGTGATGGGCCGAGTCGTCCATTGTCTCGGAGAGCTTCAAGTATATACAGCGAGATGGGAGTATATATTGGCCTCTTATGGCCACCATGAGGAATAAAAAACAATCAGCCACAACATACCAAACAATAACACTCGGCAAGTAGTATCCGCCGCTCGACTATAAGTACCGCTTAATTACGCCAACATCACTCAGAGAAAGCATCGATTCCAATAATCTTTAATTACATACCTTCTATACACATTTCATCATGTCTTCAACGAACTCTAAGTCTGATGCCTCCGATCCTGAGCCTCCTCACCTGAGCTTTCGTTCCTTCGTCGAAGCCCTCCGTCAGGATAACGATCTTGTGGATATCAATGAGCCGGTTGATCCTGATCTGGAGGCCGCAGCAATTACTCGTCTCGTCTGCGAAACCGATGACAAGGCCCCTCTCTTCAACAATGTCATTGGAGCTAAGGATGGGCTCTGGCGAATCTTAGGAGCGCCAGGTTCCCTGCGCAGCTCTCCCAAAGAAAGATTTGGTCGTCTCGCACGACACATGGCCCTGCCCCCTACTGCGTCGTTGAAAGAGATTATCGACAAGATGCTGTCTGCGAATAGCATTCCTCCTATCGAGCCTGTTATTGTGCCCACCGGACCTGCCAAGGAGAACTCGATTGAAGGAGATAATATCGACTTAGAGGCGCTTCCGGTCCCAATGGTCCATCAGTCAGATGGTGGCAAATACATCCAAACTTACGGAATGCACGTCATTCAGTCTCCTGACGGTAGCTGGACTAACTGGTCGATTGCCAGGGCCATGGTAAATGGAAAGAGAACATTGGCCGGCCTCGTTATCAACCCCCAGCACATTAGGAGAATCCAAGATCAATGGCGCGCAATTGGCCAAGAGGAGGTTCCCTGGGCACTTGCCTTTGGCGTCCCTCCTACTGCCATTATGGCCTCTTCTATGCCTATTCCTGATGGAGTTAGCGAAGCCGGTTATGTGGGAGCGATTGCTGGCGAGCCCATTAAATTGGTCAAATGCGACACCAACAACCTGTATGTTCCGGCTAATTCAGAGATTGTTCTCGAGGGCACTCTATCGACGACCAAGATGGCGCCTGAAGGACCCTTTGGGGAGATGCACGGTTATGTCTATCCAGGGGAAAGCCACCCGGGCCCTGTGTATACAGTCAACAAGATTACATATCGCAACAATGCGATTTTGCCCATGTCTGCTTGTGGCCGTCTGACTGATGAGACTGTAAGTGATTTTTTTGCCACTCTCTATTTTCATGGTCACAAACTAATCTATCACTTCTAGCAAACTATGATTGGAACTCTTGCTGCTGCTGAGATCCGCCAGCTCTGTCAAGATGCCGGTCTCCCCATCACCGATGCTTCCGCTCCTTTCGTCGGCCAAGCCACCTGGGTCGCCCTCAAGGTCGACACTGAGCGCCTCCGAGCTATGAAGACCAATGGAAAAGCCTTTGCTAAGCAGGTCGGTGATGTTATCTTTACCCAAAAGCCCGGCTTCACCATCCATCGTCTTATTCTCGTCGGCGACGACATTGACGTCTACGATGACAAGGATGTCATGTGGGCCTTTACAACTCGCTGTCGCCCTGGCACCGATGAGGTCTTCTTCGATGATGTTCTTGGTTTTCTGCTTATCCCGTACATGGGCCACGGTAATGCAGAGGCCCTCAAGGGCGGCAAGGTAGTTAGCGATGCGCTGCTTGCTGCTGAGTATACCACTGGAAAGGACTGGGAGGCTGCAGACTTCAAGCATTCATATCCCAAGAGTATTCAAGACAAGGTCTTGAATAGCTGGGAAAGGCTGGGCTTTAAGAAGTTGGAGTAAATCGTGGATTATGAATTGCTCGGTCTTGCTATTGATCATGAGTTTTAGATTGTGTTATAGTGTATAGTATGTAGATTTAATCATTTAGAGACAATAGAAACACAAATAGAGGATAACATGCGCATATGCATTAACAACTCTGCCTCGTAATGCACCGCAACAGCACCACCATATGCATGTACCGTGATTTACCTACATGTACCTAGGTACTACACTTTGTCAGCGGGGTGTCGTGCCTGATAGAGTTGGGCATCTGCATCAGGTCCTTTTGAACACTGAACCATACAACCCCGCATCCTGCCATCAAAAGAATCTCAAATTCTCATATACGAGTGCAAAACTTATACAATGCCGGATTTCAAGAATTTTAAGAAGCTCCTTCGACCATTTGATAAATTGCGCGAAACACGCAGATCTTCGAGGGAGGCCGATGTCCGCACTCGAGAGAATAACGTGAAATCGCCAACTACAGATCCCCCGAGAGAAAATGATGCGGCACATATGGAGCAACGTGAGGACCAAAATCCGCCATCCGTGACCATCGAGCGTCCAGGAGAGCAACAGCCGGCTACCGAGCAGCATGACTCCCTGTTACCCGATCCAGCACCGTTCAGTAACGCAATTGATTTGCCTGAAATAGCGGAAGCTTCCACCACCCCGTCTGGAAGTAGTATCTGGAATGAGGCTTACGATAGCCTGAAAGCAGAAGAGCCCAAGCTGGTGCAAGCATATGAGAAGATCCTATCCATAGAAATAAATGGAAATCCGGATGCTTCCACAAATCATAAATCCGATAATTATCTCATCGAAAAAGAGGATGTATCATTTAGAAAGGCGCAGATGTACCAACTGATCGACAATGGCTTGGAAAAAACCAGGCACGAAACGAATATCAAGGACAACATAGGCTCAGCGATGAAAATTGCCAACGCAACGAAGAAAATGATTGGGGACACAATCAAAGACATACCGCAAGCCGCTCTTCCCTGGGCTATAGTTTGCGTTTCGCTCGAGGTAAGGCACCGGCGATCCTACCCACAGCCACTGACCCGATCTGTCGTCGAACTGAATATTCTGGCAGATACTATCCGGTCCTCTATTGCAAACCGAAACCAATCGTTCAGCAGTTGAATATGTTGGAGACACACTGGCGTGGTACTGGGAAAATGCGACGCGTCTTTTCGATAACGATCAAGCAGAAAGTTATTTGGAAGGCTTTCAACGCCAGTTACGGACAGCGTTTGTCCGATTTTACAAAAAGCTTCTACAATTTCAAATGAAAAGCATCTGCGACTACTACAGGCACCGAGGCTTTGTTTTCTTCCGGGATCTCATGAAGTTTGATGACTGGGATGGTAGTGCCAAATCTATTCGAGAGGACGATGAGTCTCTTCGCAAGAGGATCAATGAGTTTCTACATCATAAAATGGAATCGCATCTTGAAAGTTTGACTCTTCGATTTAAAGCATATGAAAGGACGCAAGAAGATCAGCAATGCCTTAAAGACTTGTTCATCACTGACCCACGCGATGACATGAAGCGTATTGAAAGAACCAAGGGAGGGCTATTCGAAGACTCATATCAATGGATTTTTGGAAACACGAAATACCAAGAGTGGCACAAGAATGATCTAAACCGGTCTCTTTGGCTTAGCGGCGATCCAGGCAAAGGGAAAACTATGCTTCTTTGCGGTATCATCCAGGAATTGATGCGACAGTCAGGTCCGAATCTGATGACATTCTTTTTCTGCCAGGCCACAATTCTGAGCAATAGCGACTACGTATCCGTTTTACGCAGCCTCATTTGGTTGCTGGCAAACCAGCAACCTTCTCTGATATCCTATATCAGAAGCTCATACGATAAAGCTGGCCAAGCTCTCTTTAACGGAGCAAATGCTTGGGACAAACTGTCACAAATCTTTAGCGACATGCTGTGCGACAGCAGACTGCCACCAGTCTACATCATTGTCGACGCGCTTGATGAGTGCACCACAGGCCGGACGGAGTTCTCACATCTCATTCAGAAGCTTTCGACGTCGCCGAAAGTCAAGTTGCTAGTATCCAGTCGCAACTGGCCCGAAATTGGGGGCCAGTTGATTAATGAGATGAACCTTAGCCTTGAAGTAAATGCTGGGCTTGTTGAAACGGCAGTGGAGTTGTACATTTCTTATAAAGCATCCCAACTATTCATTCTACGTGACGATCCCCAGTTGAAAGAGGAAATTTGTCATCGAATGCGAATCAAGGCGAACGGTACATTTCTATGGGTTGCAATCGTCTTTAAAAGTCTTGAATCGATAAGATATTATGACGATAACTCAGAAGTCCTAGAAATGATAGACGAAATGCCTGAGGATCTGATACAACTTTACGCTACCATGCTGCAGCGAATTGCTGTTTTAGAAGGAGAAAGCGCAAAACTGTGTCAAACCACTCTTGCTATTGCAACATTGGTATATAGGCCGTTACATCTCAACGAGCTTTCGACCCTAGCGGGATTCCAGAGACGTTTGAAGAGACTACCTCATATAGAAGAGTTGATAAAGGACTGTGGCTCGTTCTTGACTGTTCAAGAAAACAAAATCTACTTCATACACCAATCTGCGAAGGATTACTTAGCCAGCGACGTTTCATCACAATCTTCTATATTCCCTAATAGAAGAGATAAAGTTCATTATAGTATCGTTTCAAATTCATTGGACGCTATGTCGCAGATACTGCGAAAGAACATCTACAATCTGGAACACCCGGGAACTCTCATCGATGACATTTGCCCGCCAAAAGATAATCCTTTGGACACCATACTCTATTCTTGCGCCCATTGGGTTGCCCATTTGTGTGAAATAGATGCTCAAAGCCCCTTGGATAGTCTTATTGACAAAGAGAAACTTTTGGGCTTTTTTAAGGCACACTTTCTCCATTGGCTAGAGGCGCTTAGTTTGACACGAAATCTATCAGTTAACATACACCACATCAAACGGTTCCATAAAGTGCTAAAAGTAAGGATATTATCCCAAGCTTCAGGAATTAAGCCTACTAACCTTCTAACTAGAAGTCTGCGGAGGATGAGCTTCAAAAACTTATGTATGATGCAAGCCGATTCATTCAGTACCATTCTCAAATTATTGAAACTGCACCACTGCAGGTATATTCTTCAGCAATTCTATTCAGCCCTACGGAAAGTTCGGTGCGTTCCAACTTCATTGGCAAGTTATCTTCTTGGATAACATCAAAGCCTGTAAAAGATACCCATTGGAGCCCCTGTCTGCGAAAAATCGAAACCAAGGATTCAGTGGCAGCGGATACTAGAGACACAGATCTCTTGATCGTGGAAAAAAATTCTAACAAAGTCGTAACTTGGGACATGACTCTAGGACAGCGAATTCACATCTTCAACCACACAGAAATCGTTCGCGACGCAGTGTTCTCAAGCGATTCGAAGTGTGTGCTGACCGCTACTTTTAATCAATTGATATCCTGGGACATAACCTCTGGCAAAATGATACGAGAAATTGATATTCCGGGGCTATATGCTACTGCTGCCCTTCTCAAAATTTCCAAAGATGGGAAATTTATAGCGGCGGCAGTGGGACATAAATTCGTTCAAATATACAATGTAGCTGAAGACACGAAAACTCAAATCTCTTTCGGAGATTATGGATCTATTTGGGCCATCAATTGGTCCAATGATTCCAAGTTTGTCCATATTGCCGCAGACAAGGTTGCACTTCTCTGGGACATGGCTAGAGGCACACCTAAAATGGAGTTTGATCAAGATGTTTTGAAAAGTAGCCATCTCAACATTTCGAAAGACTCTAAGCTTATAGCTTTTATTGACAGAGTGACCGGGGGGATTGTCATTTGGGACCTGAATAAAAGCGAGAAGATTCTGGCGATTGTAACAGAAAGTTTTCCAAAAGAACCTTCAAACATTGAGTTTTCAAATGACTCCACCCTTCTCGCTATGGCTGACGACTCTTTTGTTCGAGTCTGGGATATTACTACCGGGCGATGTCGACATAATATCAGATTAGAGAGGAGATACGCCAGCGAATTGAGGTGGTTCAGTGGTTCAGAGGCCTTGGCCGTTATCTTTCCTGACAGCGTCGAAATATATGATCTCACTGAGCATATATACTGGGACTCCAGCAATGATACAGGACCAGTAAATAAAGTTACTTTCTCGGCTGATTCTATGCTGGTGGCTGCTGGGAGTGCGGACCTTAAAATCTGGAACTCGACAACTGGAAGTGAGATTCAAACATTTCCCGCAATTTATCCTCCTTTACGCTATCATCTACAGTTCTCTCACGACTCCACGTGCATTTACACGTATTACAATGGCGGCTTGAAGTCTTGGGACATTGCCTCAGGTAACCTGATATCACATTCTTTTAAAATCCCTACTGTGCGAAGGAATCAGGCAGCGTTCTCATCCGATGGAAGATATTTTGCACTCGCTAAAGATGGGGTTCAGCTATGGAACTTGACCACAAACGAAACTTCCTCTCCTTCAATGACTCGGCAGGCAAAAGTTACTCAGCTTGCATTCTCCCATAATGCCGCATACCTAGTCTTAGTGTCTGACGTTTTTGACGGTGTCCTAGTTACAAGTATTATTGACGTATGGAATTTAGCAACTGGAAACAGGATATGGACGGTGGACGATGTTACAGACTGGAGCAAGTATGCAGACATACATACGTGCGAAATCTGTGGTGGCTGGAGTGAATACTACCAGGACAATTCAATTGCTATTTCTGATGGCGGTATGGTGCTTTATGTAAGGCCATTCAGCCATGAGATGGTAATTTTGTCAGAAGGAATGGAGATTCTTCAGCTACCTGTTTGTTATCAAAAACTTGAACCATATTTTGACATCGAGTGGCCGTATATTGTTACGCAATCTGGTCGTTTACATCTCGATAAGGTTATTGCTCAAGCGGCAGAGTCTTCTCACTTTGAGAAAATATCCGACTACCAGTCGATGACAGAGGGCTATGGCATTAGTTCTGACGACTCATGGATCACCTGGAATGGAGAAAATATCCTCTGGCTTCCACCAGACTACCGTCCAGCAGGGAAACGAGCTATATCCCGTCACTGCATTGCCATAGGAACCATATCAAAAGGTGTTCCCATTTTTAATTTTTCTAGTCCTCCTCCTTTTGAACTCTTATATTAGAACGTGTCATTGGGCTTCTATGTATAATCTATTCATCATCCCTGATCTCGTGCGGTTCCACTCTCGTTCAATGATGCCGCTTTTACGTTGCCGATAGTGTGTGTTGGATGCGTCCCAAAACCATTCATTTCAGAAGGCTACATACCCAAAACCAAATCCAAGAGGCCGCTTTGATTCTGGTTTACCTTTGCCTTTTTTTCGTGCCACCGCCACGCGTGGAAAGGAAAAGCGATGATACAAGACGCTGTAACGTATCTCGGCGATGTATACTGCCTGATTGTAGGCTCAACGATGCTAGTTAGAAGCATATTATTAAATTATATGGTTCCAATTATTTTGGAAGAGGTCAATGAATGCTTGAATAGCGGTTTTCATGCAAATATAAAATGAAATCATCAATTTTAACAGATCAAAAATATTTCTAACGCATTTCTATGGCACGATATAAATTTCAAGTATTTTCCCTCCCATTGTCTAATTTGTAAGTTTAAATCCAACATAATCGTTTTCTGACACATCTTTGATGAAGCGCTGGTAGGTGTGGAAGCCACCCAGCCAAGAATGAACAGGCACATTCGATCCTTTAACAAAGTCACCGGTGATGAAAGACTTGACCGTCTTGATCAAGCTGGCATCTTCTATCTCGAGGCACTTCTTCAGCCAGCCATCCTTGGCTTGTTCGTCCGCCTCAATAAGGACAGTCTTGCCGTCGCCGTTCTCCTGCTTCTTGGCTTCCGCCTTTGCAATGAGTCCGGCGATGAAGTTGGCCTGGACTTCAATAACAGGAGGAATATTGGAGATTGGTGACTGAGGGCCGATGGAGAAGAACATGTTGGGGAATCCGACCTCGCTGAGTCCAAGGTAAGAAGTTGAGCCCTTGGCCCAGGTCTCGTTCAGGGTACCGTGTGTGCCAGTTGGGTTGACTACCTTAAGGCTGCCGTCCATAGCTTCATAACCAGTTGCGAAGATGATAACGTCCAGATCCCACTGCTTCTCAGTGGTCAAGAGACCCTTTTCGTTTGCTTCGATAAGGGGTGTGAATTGATAGTTGACGATGTCGACGTGCTTCTTGGCAAATGTCTCGTAATATCCTGACATGGTAACAGGGCGCTTGACGTAGAGTTCGGTCGGCGTCAGCTTCTTACGCTTATCAGGATCGGAGATATACTGGGCAATTTTCTTCTCGAAGAATTTGCACAGCTCTCGGTTGGCCTCTTCGCTTGTAAGAATGTCCCCAAATGGGCCATACATAAAGGCAACACCGTTTGTTCCGTTCCAGATTTCCTCCCAGATACGCTCACGCTCCTCTGCGCTGACGCTCATAGTTGGGGTGCTCTTATATACTAGGTTCTGTGCAATAGGATGGTTGTCGACCGTCTCCCAAATCTCATCCCAGTTGCTGTTAACCCATTCTCTTTCTTCGGCTGAGATGGGTCCGTTGTTGTGAGGCACCACATGTTGTGACGACCGCTGGAAAGAAACTAGATGTGAAACATCATCGGCAATGTTGACCATGAGCTGAGCTCCGGATGATCCTGTGCCGATGACACCAACCTTCTTGCCCTTGAGGTCACGGTGCTCAGGCCATTCACTAAGAAAGTTAGCCACGCTAATTTTGTTCAAGGTAATATTCAATCTTCTTGTCCTTACCCTGTGTGATAAACTGGACCAGCAAACTTCTCAATTCCCTTGATTGTGGGTTTGTGAGGTGTATGTAAATGTCCAGTGGCTAAAATAAGGTATGTGGTCTTATAAGTCTCTCCGGTAGAGTTGAAGGTAACGGTCCATGTAGATGTGGCAGCATCAAAGGACGCTGACTTGAGCTCCGCACTCAACTGAATATGTTGTCTTAAGTCGTGGATCTCAATAAAATGCTGTAGATACTCCAAGTTTTCCTTCTGGCTTAAGTAGCGTGTTGACCAAGGGTATGTCTTCAACAGCTCCTTGTCTTCCCTGTACCTATATATCTCGCTGGTAGTGTCGGTAGTAGCACCGGGATACTGATTCCAGTACCATGTGCCACCAACCTCTGGAGCCTTATCAAAAGCCCTCACGGAGAGGCCGAGTTGCTTTAGTTTGTAGAGGTTGTAAACGCCTCCAAAACCGCAGCCAACAATGATGGCGTCAAATGTGCGAGACATGACGATTGATGAGTCGCGGTAATATGTGATGACGCTCGGTACGTTACTATGGAGAGATAAAAAGGAATATGGTTGAGAGCAGCGCTGAGAAGAAAAATAAGCGAGAAGACTACTAGTAAATATATCTTCTAGCGTTTTCGCAGCAGCTCAACCCCCAATCGAGCTTCTGACATTGCATATAAGCTTCTGACATGGTGTACTAAACAATATCCCACGAATCCTTTGACGTTTCAAGGCTGTTAGCCATACAATGTCAAAGCAGCAACTACTGTAGTATTCCATTTTGACCGCCAGATGAGAAAAGAGGAATCAATGAGCAAATTACTCATAGTTCGAGGCTAAGAAGGTATTGATAAGCGATAAATCCCTGCTGTTCTTGCATTTGGATATTAAATGCTTATATTTTGCGCCCCTCTGCTGATGCTTATTTTCTTTGATGGTCAAGCAGATATTAAAAAGAAAAACAGGGAGCGCAAATAGAATATTCACACACAAAACCCTAATAGAGGCACAAAAAACGTATACCATCTGGAGTATCTGTATGCGCATGTTTATCTCATTATGTGTGCAAAGTCCTCGGATTGCCTGTTTTTTTAATATCCGCTTGGTGGTATCTTCAATTATGTTAGACACCTTCCGTTGCGGGCAGAGATCTCGTACTACTACTAGTGCCCGGATTCTTACACACGAGCTAATTGATGTGTAAGACTGCCGGATTAGAAAGTATACTTCTTACTCCTAGCGCAATTTATGGAGCAAATCTAGTTGTGCTCATCAAAACTCCTAGCTATAGCGCTACACTAGAGTCAAAAGCTCTCTCTTACAGACCTACATATCTTACTCCCTAGCTGCCGCCGGTGGCTTTACAACTGCAGTCATAGGATATCAACACAAGAGACATCCTGGGAGCAACTGATTATCCACAAAAGTCCGCACGGATGTTCAGTAATATTCTAGATTACTATGGATACCTTTTACAGGCATATATCGCGGTCCGTGTCAGCGCGCTACTTTCCGTACAGGGGTTTTTGTTTTCTCGCTGGTGGAGTCGCGTGACATAAAATTATGCTGCAAATCTTTGCAGGAATACCTAGCTATAGAGAGTCTCTTGAAGTTCAGCTGATCAGAAATCTTACAGTTAACCAGCTTCTATGAATTAGGGCATAGGTATTAGTTGCGTCTAGCCTGGGTCTGCGTTATGCTTGTAGATATAAAGAGACCTAAGTTGACCCTCATCAAATAGAGAAAACAACGTATTTTCGATACATAAAATGAGTCATGATTGATGTCGTAGCCTCTTAACGAGCTTATACAGGCCACAGATCGAATGATTTCGTGATCTGTTCTCCTTGTGTGTATAAGTGAGTCCAGAAGCACGTTCCCGACTTGTCAACAGAGCATGTCAAGAATAAGTCTACGAGCGTAAATTGAAGCTCTCATTGGCTAGATATAGGGAGCGTATCGGTCGAAGGATTAACGAGATCCGTAGGAGCGGGGTGTTTGACTGACAGTCTCCAATCCCCGATTATTCCCCGATGTCAGCATGTTAGTGTTTTATTAGGGAAATTTATTACTAAAAAGGACGCAGAAGAATAGTACTTGTATGTACAGGTAGTTGGAGACGAAAAGAAAACTACAGTAGTATTCACAACACCGCTGCCACAGCAGCACAGCCACTATCATGAGCAATTTAAAATCGTTAACAAGACCAGTATTATCATAAAGGCAAGTCCAGCTAGCTAGTACTAGATTCCGTTGCAACAAAGGGAGGAAACTCCAGAGGTAAATGCCTCGATTCCTGCTAGTACAAAGCGCCGCTAAACAAGGTTACAGTAGACAGATTGCCGACGCAGGCTTGTAGGAGGTCGGCAATAACCTCTTACGTCCGCCGGAATCGGTGATTTACTGCTCTAAGCCATACAAGTATATCTCGCTTGTAGGGATAATGTTTCCCCTTCGACGGATACTAGATACACCGTCCCTGGATTCTCAGGCAACCCGACGTGATCGAAAATATAAGAAGTACAATGAAGGTTTAGCTAGCATCAAACACACTTGAGTAAACGAATGTAAAAGCTGGAGAGCTGCCTTATTTCTCTTCTCTCAAGCCCAACTCGCATGTGACTAGTTGATTGGCCTCTGCTATATCCGAGCCCTATCCGAAACGCATTCTCGCATAAACACACTTAGCCACCCCATGCAGCATTGCTGATCAGTTAATCGCTCTTCTCTAAATGGTTATGTTGATTTCAACCGCAAAGGAGCATTGGCTCCTAGACAACATTCAATTGGTCAACTGCACAGCAGGTCATTTTCCTACCAAGTGTCCCGCATTCCGGCCTCGGGGCTTGGCCGAAAACGCAAGGCTGCGACCAGCATTATTTCGGCGAACCGTTCCCTCGCAGTGGCCAATAATCGTCAAGGTATGGTAGTATTTTGATTGATTATAGCTCCACTGCCACCGTGGCAGCCCCCCTCACAAGCTGAATAAACGCTGAGTTGTGGCTACGGTACTAGTATTATACGGTTATACGGGACCTTGCTGACAGTGGTAAGCGCAGGCCATGGTTACACGTATCTACCACCGTAGCCAGCTATCAGCAAGGGCAATTAATGGCCAGGCGCTTAACAATGCTTGGGGAGATATGAATTCTCAAGAACGCAGCCGATCGAGAGTAAAGTAGCAATATAGGCAATTTTCCACCAAGCCGCAAGTGCTCTATTTCGATTGACGTTGCCATTGAATAGATGAAAGCAGCCGTGTTGGCTGTCCATATAAGCAGTGCAGATCTTGACTGAAATTGGTCTCAAGCCCGTAGCTCGGCCTGAATGCAGCCAAGACCTTTTCGGCAGCCCGAGCACTTGCAGCATGCACAATGCCTTTCTCAGTGTTCCACGGTACAAATACTTACCATTTCCGTAAACTGCAAATTGCAACCTAGGCACCGCATCTCGCCGTCTCTGCCGCTGTTGATAGAGGAAAATGGTGTGATTGGTTGATCGGCTATGTACGAACAGAGTTCCATGGAGGCGTATTATGCGATAAAAAGTAGCCACTTTCTGTATAAGCGGGAGATTCCGAGCTTGTAAATATAAAACAAGTCAATCAACTACGATTCGACAGATTGTGAGAGACAGTGCAAAATGATATGGATACTGTATGCTTTGGCAGCGTTGAAGATGGCCTTGGATAGGAATAAGAAGACTTTGTCGTTTGATATGGTATCAGGTGGCACGGCTCGTAGAACACCATTGCTACCACTCGTTATGGTTGGCTCAAAATGGGCCAGGATGCTTGAATCAATCTTACTATACTACTAAGCACCTTAGTAACTGACACAGAGGATAACTGCATGTACATACATCACATACAGTATCCATATCATACGCACTGTCCCACGCAATGTGTACCAGAGCCACGCCATCCGCCCCTCATCACGCCTGACTGTTCAATGCAGAAGGGGATAAACCCCAGAAGACTATTGAGGTACATATATTGACACTGACAAGCACTTCCCATTGGCCTGCTACAAAAACACGAATGAGACCGCGTTGACTCGGTTTTGATCATCTAACCATCACGATATCAGCCACCACTATTCAACGCAGGCCAGTGATGCCTTTCGGTGTAAGCATGTAAAATGAGCACTAGTAGGCGAATCTGGGTAGGGATACCATGCACATTACATGGTGAGAGCCTTGCTATTCAGCTCTGTATTGTGCCAGATGTGGCAGCCTAGACGAGACGCAGGATTCAGCTGAAAATCTATTGTATATAAGAATCGGATAGCCCATCAAAATTGGGCGAACAATTTGCCTTGCATATGCAGGTGAGTTGCCAGCAGCGCCACAGCTCAGGTGTATCAGGCTGAGGATGAGCTATCGCTCGATTTGTTGTGTGGATGGGGGCTGTAAATCATTCGCCTCACCGAAGCCTCACTCTATTGGACAAGATAATCTTGGGAATGGTAGTACCAAAAAGCCTCGCCGCATTTCATTTTATTCTGTGAAACATATAATAGTGTTCTCTGTACACCGTAATAATACTCAAATCTGTACTTATACCTGCTTTCCGACGCTCATATCCGCATAAGACTGTATTAAACACGCATTATTGGAGAAGCTTCAACTCCATTGATTCTGCCTCAATATCTCTATTCGGTCGTTACATCATCCGCCATGGCAGACGCAAGCTCTTTAATTAGTACACGCGCTGTTCAAATCCGCGCTCCGCCGAGCTTGACCAGTTGTGTGGACATTGTTAATAGAGCCACCGCGACTTGTCACAATGAGAGGCCAACGAGTGGAGCTATAATCTCATTTGATTTCAAGTATCCTTCAAGCATATTCTCTGTCAAAAAAGAGACAAAACCAAGATTCGATTTGAATTTTATGATTCAAATCGAAGATGCGTACCAGGGGCCTGTGGACATCCAAGCTGTGGAGGCCTACCATTTTAACCTCGATAATAACATCGCCGAATTACTGAACGACTCAAAAAAGTTTCCTATGTTCGAACATTTGTCCTTTGAAGGTACAACAGTCAAAGGTCTGATGCACTCGCCTGATGATTTATGTAATTGGGACGACAATAACGCTAGGTTCGTGGTGCTTTCAAACGTTTATCCATCAAAAATCGACGTTTCGGTATCATTTTCTACAAGTGATGGAAGTCACCAGCTCAGGCGAGCTTTTATTGGTGCTAGTCGCCCCTATACGGCATCATCTCCTAACGGGGAAAAGCTTTGCGAGCTGTTACGTTGGGCAGCAGGGCTTGGATATATCGATTTATTCAAGGCATATCTTGATCTAATACCAGCTGGACTTGAATTGGAAGATGCATTTGGTATGACACCTTTCTCGTGGGCAGCGCAAAATGGCAGGGCTGCAGTGGTCCGACTGGCACTGCAACAAGTCGGTTCCATTTCCGCCAGGAGAAGAACGTCTCAGGGGCCTGCTCCTCTCGAAGCTGCAGCTCGCAGCAAGAATGAAACAATTTTTATGGATTTTCTCAAATGGCTCAAATTTCTCGAAAATCCAATAACAAACGATACAACATCTGGGCCAGATGAGATTCCCGAACATGGCCCCGACCTTGTTGATGACGATATCGAACGAGAGATTCGTTCAGCGGGTCGCAGTGAGCAGACAGTAGTCGTCCGAAGATTAGTTGAAATGCTCCGTGATAGACAAGGCAATGAGGTTAGACAAGGCGTGTGGTTAGCCAAGCGAATGGTAAACGCAGCGAAGGAGGGAGACCTCTCTCTTGTTCAAGTTTTGAAGTCTTGCGGTGCGCATGTCAATTGCAAGAACGACGACAATATTACACCACTTATGGGCGCTATCAACAACAACAAAACGAAAGTTGCAGAGTATCTTATTTTTCAAAGTGCTAAAGATGACAGTGCTTCGTCTGCCTTGAGAAAAGCTGTGGAAACAGGCCAACACAGTACTATACGAGCATTATTACAGGTTAGACCGCCACTAGAGGAGAACCTAAAACAAGATTTACTACGCATTGAAGGTGTTGATAGAGACTCAACAACTCTCATGATACTTAACTTGGAGAAGGGAACCGATAAGTTAGCAACGCCCGACGATTTGGACGAAGAAGTGGACAGGTACTTTCATGCCACCGTGGTCGATTTCTATGAGAATAAGAGCCCGGAATTTACAGAGTATAATGTACATCAGTTACTGCAAGAGTCGGAAACACCGGCAAAGTTATTCGAGTCAAACCAGGAATCCAGCTTCAAATGGTTCCATTTGCCGGCAAATAATGTGAGTGATGATATCATCGATCATACAGCCCAACATCAGATGAAATTGCGTATCTTACTGATTACTCTATAATAGATGAAATGGGCCGAGGTAGGCCACTCCAAAATGAATAAAAAATGAAACAATTGCTTATATTTAAAGGCATAGGTCTTGATCAACAAAATCTATTACGAAGATCCGTCGTTAGCTTATAAAGTCCTAGAGCCAAAAAGATGGATAAAGAGACAACATGAGGGAGAAAATGGCTCCTCGCATGCACACTTTATGATGCCAGCGTGCCACGACTTCCAAGTAGCCTTCGATGATAAGAAGAGTGAGAATTTTCTCCTTATCTGTTTGCTCCTACGACAACATTTTTATTGACCCCTGTTACAGAAAATGCACGCGAAAAGGAAGACAGACATGTAGCTCTCTTTGTTAGTATCATGATTGATTGAGTGTTTTAATGATCAGCATAGCCACTAATGGCCAATGAGAAATAGATGCCATATCTACATTGGGATGATGAAATGGTAATGCAAAAAAGATCAGCATTTCTTGCCAAGGAGTTATGCTCAGACACCGCAGCTTCTACAACCGTTACAAGAGTACCGCCAACCAACACTGCAGCCCCGCCATCACCAAATACCGAAACGCAGAATGAGCCTCGTGAACCGATCTTTCGCAGAGAGAAAATGCTCATAGAAAAATATTTGCTCTCTGAACTCCGTTGCGATAAAAATTCTCGCCATCTTCTCCACGTTCGGCGGACTCTGGATCAGTCTTTGTATCATAATCTAAAAGACACAAAAAAACGAGATGCTGACCAGACTGTTCGCCGATATCAACAAATGCTATATCCAGACAAAAAGCCTGACGAAGTCCCTTTTGCGGTTATTATGGTAGATCAGCTTTGGCTGTGGATTCTTCTTGGCCCATCAGGAAAAGCTCAGGCAGTCGTAACATGCTTTCCATCTAGAGATTGGCCAAGCGACAATAAGGACTCCGGCAGCAAAATACATGTATTGGATCCACAACGAACCACGGACGTTATGCAAACTACAAAATCTTATATTCAACAAAGGCCTGACGCTGTAAAAACGCCATATGACCTTGCAGGATTTATTGCCAGCAGATGTTCAAGAGCGCTTCTAGACCGCTCGACTGATATGCTTGACTTCACAGAAGTTTATGAAAACTCTATCAATTTTATTGTATGTTATATCCTCAAGTTTACCTTTACATCGTTTGGAGACATATTAATTAACGCCATGATCCCTTTGGAGCAGATGAATGAAGAAGTAATGCTTTTCAATGATTTCAATTATCTTTTACAAACCAGTGCAAAGGCAATGGATGAACAACAAAATACGAACCAACAAAATGAAAAAGCCGGGTATAAAAATTCTGACTCTCGTTTAGCGATGGATATCGAAAAAATCGGTCGATATTTTGTCCTTGATATAACGAGGGAGATCTCTCTTCTCAGACAGATCAAAGATATCCAGGACGAAGTGGAAAGGATGGAAAAGATATTTGCAGATCAAAAAGAAGTTATTGAAGCCTTGGATCGAATTATTCGCGCTATGATACTGTCAAAAGATCCAGAAGACGATATACAAGTCGAAAGTTCCAGCACCAAACTCAACTTACGAAAGGGTTCTAACAATATAAAGCAGGAGGCGGAGTTTAAAGACAAAATTCACCATTCCTCAAAAGAATACAAGTGGTCAAATACAACTGGATCGGACGTAATGGACGACCAAATCAGCGCTTTCGGAGATGAACATTTATTCGCGTACGAGCAGCAAAGATATCTTGATAAAGCAACTCAAAAGAGAAAGGATTTCCTAAATCAAGCTCAGAGCATGATTTGGCAGTTTCACGACTCAAAGCTTAATCTGCCTCTGCGCAGTGTTGACCGATCAACAGAACAAATGAGAAGAATGAAGGAGCGAGCAACAAACGCCAACGCCGCAGTTTGTCCC